GCCAGCGACTCGTTTAAGAAAGCCCATTTCAGCAGCTTGTACCCGGGTTCGAAGTTTTTCAGTGATGGTCAGTGATTCATGATTGTAGGTATGGGAATAAAGATCGACTTGAATATCGAGAGCTTGGTTTTCAGACTGAGCTCTGCTGTAGTCACAGTGGGTCGGGCTACTTCATGCAGAACGCCACTGGCTACACCAATTCGCCGGTCGATCTCTTCCTCCAGTTTTCCATCACTAAAAAATACAGTTCCGAGGTACTTGAACTTCTCCACCTGCTCCACTGCCTCTCCGTTACTCTCAAGAGAGCAGCGGGCAGGAGAACGAGAAAGCACTAGGCTTTTCTTTTTGGATGCGTTCACACGCTTGCGGGTCACGTCGCACTAGGCTGCGAACCTTTCTAAGGAGCACTGAAGATCAGTTTCAGAAGTTGCTAATAAAACAAGGTCGTCTGCAAACAGCAACCTTCTTGACTTCAAATTTCCTACACTGATGCCCTCATCTCCTTGGCAGTTCCTGACTATTCTAATCATGTACAACACAAACATGGTAAGGGACAGAACGCAGCCTTAGCGGAGACCAGTGTTCAACATCCGAAATGTAGACTTCACGTTGAACACTTTTACCAACTCGAAGACCAGCAAATAACCAAATGTCACTGAATTTCGCTTTGCTCCCGTCACTCTGATGTTACTAGGATGAACTATAGCAAAATGTATCTTCATTCGTTGCACTTTGGAATGATCGCAACTACGTTCGGTGTTTCTCTGAAATGTTAGTGACATTTATTGGTTCTAGCTAAATTCTAAGCCAAGTCAGAAAAGACTGGCAATAAGTTGTTTTCTTAATGAACTACAGCTTTCCCTTGTAATGTACACAGAAGGTACTCACAGTATCTTCCCGTAACAGCATGTTAGTTTGTGACTACCGATCACCATTTTTGTTCTTGTCCCAGTTAAAGCTTGACACTTATTGGATGTCGCAGAGTTACGATATTCCCGCGCTTCTTGTCACTGTTTGCCATTGTATCCTGTCTTGCGTGATGTCCGATACGATTGCAAATAAAATCGAAATCGAGAAGTTACAATGTATGAATCAAACGCCTAATAGGTTGCATTGCGCGTTTTTCATCAGTGGTATTTTAGTTTCGCTGCGAATACAACTGAATCCGCAAAACAAGAGCCAGTTTCCGAACATCAGCGAAGAGCGAGCGTTTGCTGACTTCATATTTGCTCATGTCATTCTCCACCTCGTGGTTACCAACTTCATCGGCTAGCTTTTTCGTTAGACGATTTGCATGATTGCTGTTGGACATGGTTTCTGTTTTGGTTTAGGCTTCTCAAATAAAATTTATTTCATGCAGAAGTACACAGAAATAAAAATGTACAGTTAACAATAAATGCTAAAGCGCTCTGGTTCTGCTTTGTCTTCAGCATGTCCTAAACGAATGCGTCAGCAAGCGTGTGGTTCGACATCGTACCCTTGTGCGCCTTAAGCGCTTTGCTTTTGTCTATTAGCTAGGTACTTTCTAAAACAGTTCTACATTATCCACAAGACATAACCAAACAAAAGGACGTAATTCAGCAATACATGCCTTCGATTATTTTCAATAAGCTGTCGTTTTCTTTCTCTGAGCAAATTTTCTCGTTCAGTCCCAGAGCTACTAAACAAATTTTCTGGCATCGGCTGAGAAAGTTGTGTAAAGTATTCGTCGTCAGAAGGTTCAGTCCACTCCGCCGTAGTAAGTGAACTGTTTAGTTCACCTGTTATGCTACTTCCCTCGTCCTAAATCAAAATATTTCTATCCGATTAATCATGAACAAACATGCCTAATTACCACGCTCTAACAACAGAACGTGTAGCTGCGCTAAATGAATACATACCTGACTGGAAATTTCGAGCTGACTCGTGGAAGCTGTCGCGTTATCAGTTTCAAAACCTACCTACAAAACAAACATTACAGTAATCCGCACCATTGGTGTAGCCCTTACCAGGCGGCCTTCAATTATATTATCAATCGTTTCCTCCATAGAATCGGTTTCTCGTAGATCAGCGGCGATCTGTGAGGATGCGATGTGAGGAAACATTTCATGAATACGTTGTGCGTCCTAAAAGCAGGTATATCCGTAAATGGATAATACACTAGGCTTCTAGCATGTTTATAATTTTTATTTAGGGGATCAGTGGCACAACCTAGATAAGGAACTACTGCCAGAAATTTCGGCTATCACATTCTCTTCAAAAGTACTCGAAGTGTCCTCTGTCTCTGACCCCAACGCGCCGATAGGTTCGTTACGGCACGCCATGCGGTAATGCCGAGATGATGATCAGTCTGTTCAGAGTCTAGGTTTCTGTATTCTCTATGAAGCCAAATTTACTCAGCAGGAAAGTGACGTTCAATTGAGACAGAAAAGAATTTAGTACCTCAGGGTAGCATTCACAAATGACGGCAGACGAGACATTAAAACACACTGAATAAATCACATGACGGTAATAATTCAGGAATTAAACTTTCTGTTTAGACAACTGAGCAGTGGTGCGAAACTGTCAAGTGGGCAATATCTGCACACTCTTGAATTTGTGTATAATGTATTGCTTAGAAACAACTTCGAAGATGCCATATCACTTTTCACTCTGAAATAGTTTTTCTGATTTGGGTCCTTCGATTAACTTAAAGACGAAATGAATAAAACTGGTAGAACTCACACCAAAGACTTCTGCCCTCTGACACTGAAGTTGTGGAAATGGTGCAAGACATCTTAAACTTGCAAGTATATTGGCTGCAGACGAACGAGTGGCAGTCGAGGTTAATGCTGCTGTATCGGCATTAGAAGCGGGCAACAAGTTACTCAAGTTTTGGAAAAACAAAGATGTCGGCAAAAGTACCAAGCGGCAGACATATAATGCTTGCGTTGTGAACATCTTGCTCTCTGACTTGGAAACGGCAGTACTGAATAAAGCTGAAAATAGAGAACGAAGCAGCGGAAATTAACATTTTAATATCTATATTTGGAGTGAAGTGGTACGACCTGGTGTCAAATGCGTTGTTGTTGAAGTTGTACGAAAGAGATTAGAATATCAGACTAAAGCGAAAGACTGGCTGTAGACAAGGAGTTTATGATAGTACAACTGCCAACGAGTGGACAATAGCCGCCGCGCGAAACGGATACTGAACACAAAATCTAATGTAAAGCGGCCGTCAGGACGAACGCCAACAAGATGGTAATATCTCATTAGACGTTACATGATATCGAAGGGACTAAAGTAAATACGCGTTTGTTCAGTCCAGGCGGAATGCTTATACGGTACTTGGCGTCGTCTTCAATGCAACGGGAGAAGACGAAAAAGTTTACTCCTTAATTACGGGATGACACTTACTGCAATGCAGGATTGAGGGAGATCGCGAGTTTTACCCAACTGCGGAACCGCAGTTGCCACGCCATTCTGTTTTGTTGTCTAATAACATACAGGAAACTTGCTTTACCCCGGCTATATTAGTAATATGGCGAGAAGTGTCAGGACTGGTGAACGTTTCGTTTCTGCCCAGGTTATGCGTTACTTCCACTGAGAAGCTAGGAAGCCACCGGGCATAGCGACGACCTAAAAAACTAACAGTTGCAACTGGTTGCCCCATAAAGCGACGAATAATATTTCGCTACCGTCGAAATGGAAAAAGTGGTTGACCGGGTGGTTTCTTCGAAACCTTACGGTACTCTCGTCGCCTGGCGTTTGCACTCGCTCACGGGATTCGCTCCTTCTGCCAGCTAACGAGAATCGGCAGGTCGGACAACTGGTTTCTTGTTCCAACCAACTGCGCAAGCACCAGCTAAAGCAACGGAATTTGCATAATGCAAATAAAACAGGTAAAACAAAAGCTTACTTGTGAAACATATGCTTGCAGGGTAGTCGCCGCGCTGAGTCCAACTGATCCCAACATATAGCGCAGATTTCATCACGACTCCGCAGTTCTTCACCGGATACGAGCGGATACCTAAAGCTCCGCCATGATCTATCGTATTCAACCCACTATGAGAAAGTGATATAGACAGGACGACTTGTGGCCCAGAAGTGAACCGCAGATCTGCACTTAAAGTTCGCTTTTTAAACATGACTGCGAATACAACGACAGTTTGGTTACACTGTGAGAAAAAATAGCGGCTATTTGGAGCAGAAGCTCAATGAAGTTCAGACGAAACGAAAGTAAGACCAAAGAG